TTCTGTAGGGTATGTTAGTTCTAACTGGTTGATCCTGTATTTGAAAATTTGGTTCCATAGGTGTGGAAATAGTTTTGCAGTCTTCCAACTTGAATCTTTCTAGCATTATCTCAATAAATCCTTTTTGTAAGATGTGCACTAAGTTTGCTTTAGTCTCTATTTCCATGCCCAAGAAATGTTTAATGTTCCCAAGATTTTTAGCAGAAAACTCTTCTTGTAAAGCTTTTAATATCTTATCACTGTAAATATGATGTCATTCACCCACAGTAATAACCAGACTTTCTCGCCTATATATAAGCAAAAGTCATGTCTTGAACGTTTCAAGTTATTTTTCTATGCAAAATTATTGAAGGTTCCATTCCAGGCTCTTGGGGCTTCACGTAGACCGTAAAGTGCCTTTTTTTAACTTTAGCACATTATGGTTTTTGTTGAGAGATTTTTCTCAACTTCTACTACTTATGGAATTTTCAGGTACACATCTATGTTCAGCTTTCCATGCAAAAATGCAGTAGGTATATCCAATTGTTTGATATGCCATTTATTTTGTAAAGCCTGTACAATGAACATTCTAATTGTTGAATACCTTGCAACTGGTGCATAAATGTTGCAGTGAAAATCTTTCTGATACCCTTTCGCCATAAGTCTCGCCTTCTTAACACCATTAGGTTTAATTTTAAAAAGCCAACGGGTATCTATTGCTTTTTTTCCTTCTGAAAGTTTGGCCTGTTCCTATGTTTTGTGTTTTTCAAGAGCTGATAGTTCACTTTGTATCGCTTGTTTCCAACCATCACTTGACATTGCTTCGTTATAGGTCTCTGGTTCTTGTTCTTCTGCACTAAATAAGCAGTAGGCTGAATAAAGCTCATAGTCACCAAATCATTCTGGAAATTTCACTTCTCTCTTATTTTTTTCTATTATTTCTGATCATATTGTTTTCATTTTCTATTCCTTCGTCTTCTTCTGGGTCTTGCCATCTTCTTTATTATTTTTTACTTCTGTCTCTATGTTCTCAACAACCTCTACTATGTCATATATAACATCATTTTCATCAAATCTTACATCTGTTGATATTATAATCTCATCATTCTCTGGATCCCATAGTCTGTAGCCATGCTATATCCCATTAAACTTACTTGTTTTGCTCTCGTGTCTAATTTGTCTTCGGATTTTGGCATCTTGAAAGCCCACGCTTTACTTACAAACACACTTAAATCAGTCTTTCCATAATATATATTCGAAGGAATATCACCTGACAGGGCACTGGTTGGTGAACGATTAAGCTGATATGCTGCACTTCTTATAGCTTCACCCCACAAAAATGTGTTCTATTTGCCCGTTCACTTACACCGTTCTGCTGAGTTGTATAAGGTGGTGTGTATTCTATTATTATTAGTTTTTTAATTGCCATGAAATGAATTCACCTCCATTATCTACACGTATCCTTTCGCCTTTTGTTCCCTGATATCATGCATTAAGTTAAATTGTGCTTCACTTTTGTTCCTTAGTAGATATACAGTTGTAAAATGTTGGGGTTCTTAATGGACTAGCTATATTTGTATGTAGAAATTCTCCTATCTTTTTTGATCTGGGCACAGTGTCAAAAGGTTTTCGAACCCCTCTTTACATGGAGTGCATACTTTAGATGAAACAGGTAAATTTAGCTTTTTCAAGTACTGATCAGATAAATGTCCTAAACGTTTATGCCAAATTTCTCCAGTTACTGTCAAATTTACCGCGGCGCTTTCTTTTACTGCTAACTTGAATTTTGCTATGTATAACCTTCCATGTAATCTACATTCAATATTTGTATTATTTTTGTCTTTTATAACTGCTTTCTCTTTTTCAAAAATAATCTTGTGTCCTTTTTCATTTATCTTCTTCACAGACAATAAATTATGGGTTAATTCAGGCACTATTAGGGCTGTCAAATTTAGGTTTATATTATTGTATTTTAATTTAACGATAATTTTCCTGTCTTATATGCACTTAAAGTGTTTCCATTGGCCACTCTAATTTTAACTTCATTTTGTAAATTTTGTCATGCATTTCAAAATTTTCTCTGTAAGTAAATGGTCAGTAGCACCACTGTCAAGAATAAAATTAATTTCAAAATCACTCGCATTTGGCATAGCTAGGTTTGCTTCCAACACTTCTTTTATAAATGAAATATATTCATTGTTTTGCTGCAAGCTTTCACTGCTTTCTAAATCTGCTTGCCTATTTGGACCTCTTCTGTAACCGCTACCTCTTCTATATCCTCTGGCTTGACCTCTTTGTACATATACATTTTGATGCTTTTTGTTTGGACAATTTCTAACAAAATGTCCCTCTCTACCAGATTTAAAACACTTTCGTCCTTGTCAACCTTTTCCAACACTAAATGCACAATTTTTTCTATCAAAGGTTACCAGCTGACTTTAAATTTCAACTCGGCATCTAAGAGACGGGTTTTTACAAATTCTAAAGTAATGCTTGTGTTGACAGTTTCAATGGTAGTTATCATTATGTCATTTTTCTCTGGCATTGTCAGCTATAAATAACATGCCTTGTCTGTCTCATCAAGGTTAGCACCTGTTGCCTCTAGCTCTCTTAGCAGAACCTCCACCTGGATAAAATGATCTTGAAGGTCGTCAAAAGTACACTTCAATCTAAATAACTTCTTCATTATAAACAATTTTGAAAGAGGACTTTTCCTTTCAAAAACATTCTCTAGGGACTTCATCATGGCATGCGACGTCTTGGTATCTTTTATATATTCCAAGTGCTGATCTGAAACACACTGTACTATAAGACATTTGGCTTTGCTGTCCCGCTTCAAATGAGCAGCTTTTTCATCTGTGTTTAGGGTCTGGAACTGGTCATTTGTCACCTCTATTGCACTCTTAACATTTTCCTTATCCAACAATAGCTGCACTCGAAACTTCCAGTTAGAATAATTGGTTTTGGACAACTGAGGAAATGGTAAAACTAATGCAGCCATTTTCACAATACTTGACAACAACAACAGCGCAGCTAATATCGAAAATGGAAAATGTTACTTTCCTTTTTCACTTTACCCTTCAAACTTTACACACTGGGAAATCTGGGCCCATAACCTGTTAAATATATCTGTTTTTTGAAGTAACGAAGATATAAATTTCCCTGATTTCGTTGAAAATTTATTACTACACACCATAAATTATTGATGACAGACTGACAACTTTTTTTGGCAAAACTATTTTTACTTGTTAATTTAACAAGTTTAGGGTATAGATGATGTTGTCGTTAAGCGGGATACTCATATTGCTACATTTACGTTTCCATTGTAGCAGCGCCTTTTTCTAAAAATATTTTGAAAAGTGTAGGAGACAAACAACAATCTTGCTTTAAGCTTTTGTGTGTGAAGAAACCGTTGGAGAGTGTTCCCAACTTTTATTTTTATATAAGAGTTTTTGTAAATATCCCTAATGGCTTTAATTATCGTTAAATTGATGTTTGTTGTCTCCAGGGTTTCCCGGAATGGTGTCGTAAGCTACGAGACACCATGCGACCACACGGCTGACATTTTCTCTAGAATTTGTGTTACACAGAAAAGATGATCAACTGTTGATCTTCCTGTCCGGAATCTAGCTTGTTCTTCGGCTTCGTTGACGGCGAATTCTTGTTCTATTCTGGCTTTAAGTACTTTACCGTATAATCTACTTATCGACCCCTGTAATTGCCACATCCATTTTTACTAGCCTTTTTATGTATTGGGGTAAGATAGGACTCTTTCCATTCTTCTAGAATCTCACCGGTATTAATGCATTTCTGGAATAACTTTGCTAGGTGTTCATAAAGTGCTTGTGTTCCAAACTTTAATAATTCAGCTGGTATGTTACAAAATCGATAGATAGAGTTCAAATTAGTGAAAAACAACTGTAATATTAGTTAAATTTGAAAATTTTGATAAGAAAAAAATACAAAAGTAGGTAAATCCTATTTTTGGCTGTGGAAATTATGATTAATAGAAAATCAGAACTCTTTTCTAATTGGATATTGAGCTCATTAGAAGAAAACCAGTTTCATAATTATCACTAAATAATAATTATCGCACCTTTTTAATTGACACTAAGGATATTTAAAACCAGACTTAAAAGAGGTTTACAAGAGAGAAATTCAATTAATTTACATTTGAAATGTTCGTGAAATTTCACAGAATACCAAAATATAATGGGGAAAACATTTTCGTCAATGAAAAATAATCGTGACAGACAATCTGGCGACAAGAGGATTAAATGAGAACAGAACAAACAGAACGATTATCCAAGAAAAAATCCAGTTTATTTCAAAAATGAATTGTTTTCCGACTTATAGATTAAACCATGAATCATTTTGTTGATGTCGAATGAGGAAATGTGAAATTCTTACTGCTTGACAATATTCATAAACAAAAATTATTAAACAAATTAATACCAAAGTAAAAATTCCTCAGCCTCAGTCAGATAGCGGTTTTGATGACTTTCACCCGATCCACATTGCATTGCAACAACTCGTATCCAAATAAGGCAATATTTATGTTTCTAGCGATTAGATAACAACAATATTAAATGCATTGTTTTTTATTATTTTAATTAAATTGAGGAGTAGAAAAGATTTAGTTTCGATAACCAGATCTAAAAACCTATTGACCTACAAATTTTCATGTTATTTGAAAAATAATTTCACATCACCCTGTTAAAATGTCAAATGGTAATTATTTATAGCTCAACAGATGTTTTTAGATGTAAGTTCCGCTTTAGTTGGTACTCAAGAATCTCTTTGCCAATATACAATTTGCTACAAGTGAGTGTCTAGAGGGACAACCTTGAATTTATTATAAATCGAAATTGATACACATAAGTACAGAGGATTTATGTAACCCATGACAAAGATACACCCAGATATGCATGCCTGGGTTCCGAAGGTGCGGTACTACCGCAATTATTGTGTTGATTTGAGAGTTTTAGGAATAAATGTATTTATTTTGTTAATTGTTTCAGACTGAATTGAGCTCGAGGCTCAGATTGAGAAGAGGCAGAGGCGATACTAGTGAAGACGATGAAGGTTTGCCTCAAAGTCCGCCTTACGGTTCGCCGGCAGCCGTTACGGATTCGTTTCTCATACTCGAAAAGACTGCTCATAATAAGGTAAGAAAATTACATATTTTGAGTGAGACTTAATCTATTCTCAAATTGTTTTACTCAAAAATTACTAAATTTTGAAGATTTGAAGTGAAACATAACAAAAATTCAAGGCAAATTAGCGACAAATACTGAAAGTTGTAATTTTATAAGGTGTAGGTATATTTACAAATTACAGTAGAACTTGATTCTATTTTTAAATTTCTTTTACTCGAACAGTACGTACTTATGAGATTTTGAGCAGTGTTGCAAAGGACCCGATAATTATCGAATTCTACCATAATTTTAACTATGATTCAATAATCGATAATAACAAGCTAATCTACCATAATTTATTGAAACTACAATTTTAATATAGATTTTTCAAAATTAAAAATTTATTAAAAAATCGAAGGTGGTTTTTAATTTTGAGTGTTTTGACGTACTGTTACGAGCACCAAACACTAGTCCCAGATGGAGCCAAAGTTTCGTGCCAATAACTTTACTGGTTTCCAAAATATGGCCCTTTGAAATTTTTGAAAATCAAATCCCCATGCATACCCCTTTGGAAAAATTCGAATTTTTAAATTTTTGAATTTTGCAATGTTTGACTTTACCAATCAAAAGAGGAGATCAAAATTAGTGAGAAAGCATTTTTGCAACTTTGTTTTTAGAGTTTTAAAGCCTTGTAAAAAAATAAGAACGATTTTTGCAATTTTTGGGCTCAAAAGAGTTCAATAATCTGACATTCTTTCACAAAGTTGTTGATTACTCGCTTATATTGTAACAAATAAATGTAAAATAATATATTCTGAATCAGAATTAAGTTATCTTCAAGATAAAATAAGACTCAATTCTATATCTTAAATTCTTCTGAAAATATTGAGGCTCAAAGTTGAAACTTTATCTCAAATTTTGCAAAAGCTTCCAGACGGATTATCTTGAAAACGAAGCCCTTGGTCTCTGAGTCTTAAATAACCTTTTTTGTAGCCCTTATTAAGAGCTACAATTGGGCAAAAGATTCATGCCAATAGCTTCATGGTTTCCAAAATATGGCCCTTTGAATTATTTGAAAATCAAATTTCCATGCACCCCTTTGGAAAAATTCGAATTTTTAAATTTTTTGGATTTTGCTGTATTTGACTCCACCAATCGAAAGAAGAGGTTAAAATTAGTAGAAAAGCAATTTCGCATTTTTCCTTTTTGGGTTTTAAAGCCTTGTTAAAAAATAAAAACGATTTTTGCAATTTTTGGGCTCAAAAGAGTTCAATAATCTGACATTCTTTCACAAAGTTGTTGATTACTCGCTTATATTGTAACAAATAAATGTAAAATAATATATTCTGAATCAGAATTAAGTTATCTTCAAGATAAAATAAGATTCCATTCTATATCTTAAATACTTCTGAAGATACTGAGGCTCAAAGTTAAACCTTTACCTCAAATTTTGCAAAAGCTTCCAGGCGGATTATCTTGAAAACGAAGCCCTTGGGTTCAGAGTCTTAAATAACCTTTTTTGTATCCCTTATTAAGAGCTACAATTGGGCAAAAGATTCATGCCCATAACTTCACTGGTTTCCAAAATACAGGCATTCGAAATATTCGAAAATCAAATTTCCATGCCCCTTTGGAAAAGTTCGAATTTTTAAATTTTTGGATTTTGCAATTTTTGACTTTATTAATCTAAAGAAGAGGTGAAAATTAGTGGAAAAGCATTTACGCAACTTTGTTTTAAGGGTTTTAGGGCTTGTAAAAAAATTAAAACGATATTTGCAATTTTTGGGGTCAAAAAATTTCAATAATCTGATATTCTTTCACAAAATTGCTGATTACTCGGTTATTATTTTAACAAATATGATGTAAAATTATATATTCTGAATCAGAATTAAATAATCTTCAAGATAAAATAAAATTCAATTCCATATCATAAATACTTTTGAAGATATTGAGGCTCAAAGTTAAAACTTTGTCTTAAATTTTGCAAAAGCTTCTAAGACGATTATCTTGAAAATGAAGCACTTGGGCTCGAAGTTTTGAATAATCTTTTTTGAAACTCTTATTGTGAGCTACAATTGCCAGAGTCCCAGCTGGAACCCGAAAAATGAAAATAGAGATAAAAAGTCAAAAAAGTTGACAGAAACTTCTTCTGATAATTTTTCTTGGAATCTGATAATTTTGTTCTCCAATCCTGATAATTTTAAATTTGACATCTGACAACACTGATTGCACCATAATCATATTTTTTTTGAAGCGTCAGGCGTCAGTATATAGCTTGGTTTCAATACCTTGTTCAAATATAGACAAAACTGGCTTTTTTGCCATTATTCGTTTTAAATGTATAAAGGCTGCCTTTTCCTTAGCTTTCCATTCAAATTAACTATTTTTCCTTAAAAGGTCACTCAATGGTTGTGCAATAAGGGCATAATGCTTAATAAACTTTCTAATATAAAACAAGTTAAACCAAGAAAACTTTCTCGCTGTCTCTGTTTTTTTTTCTTTATTTCTTCGTTTTTCAATTTTAAGTTTTCCTTTTCTTCAAAAAATGCTACCCTTCTATCAGCTATAACAACAGAAGGTATATATTCTCTCTTTCTCTTCAAATTTGTTGTAACTTTCGGTTCAGGCCAAGGCAATATATTTTTGAATGCAGGAACTGAATTCTTAGGGTTGAAAACATTGCATTTTACAGATAAAAGAGCAGTCCTAATGCGTTTCGTACTTGTGGATGCCTCTGGTTCAATTTGTGCCAAGTTCAACGGAGATGATCTTTGAGGTACCGGAAGTGCAGAAGCGTTTTCTACGAGGTTCTCTGAATCAGACTCAAATATTGTCTCCAACTCATTTCTATCAGCATTTTCATTCAAGTGACTTGAGAGAAACGTCATTTGCAATTGAAACCCAGACTTTATACAACTCAGATGCACCGTTTTCACCTTCCCAGTCATGTCCTCGTCTTCTTGTTAGCTTAAATTCATCCAACAGATCTATATCAATCTTACTCTCGAAATATAATAAATGCTCCTTGGAAACAGTAGAAGAGGTATCTGTATGTTGTGCTTGTGCTGGTTTTCTAACAATCAGCTTATTGTAATCCACCGTTTCTGGAGAAAAAGAAAAAACATTCTGTCATCCAGCCATTCTTTCGTATTTGAAAATCGCCATTGGTGTAGAAGTCCCAGCAGCGTCCACAACAAATAAAACTGTCAGATTTTCTTTGTCAGATGCCGTTCGTTCGTCATAAACTGATTTTCCTCGAGGGCCAAGAATCACTCCTGTTTTTTGAGCCAAGCAAAACCAGATTCATCCAAATTGAAAATTCTAGTAGGATCATTTAAAGCGTCAATATTATTAGCAAGGGTCGATTTGACTTCTTCGAACTATTTCCTTATTTTTTCTTCAGTAACAGCACCTCTACCACCATGAATGTATTCTGCCTTCTTCCTAGAAATTTGTTTGTGCCGATTTAAAAAATAATAGTACCAAGTTTTTCCAGGTCCACGATTTGCAAAAGGAACATTTAACTTTAATTCTTTCACGACTCTTTGAACAGAACTTAGCAGCCCATCTTTATCAATGGGAAACCCCATTTTTGCACAATATCCAATCTTCTAACACTTTCTCGTTTACTTCGCCTAAATGCGAGAAATATCCACAGTTTCCAGTAGATTCTCGGGGTGATTTATCCTTCAATAAGTGTAGTCCTCGGCACTTTAAACTCTTTACTAGCCTTTAAAACAGCCCATTCCATTGCTTACAACTTCCAAGGCTTGTTGCATTTTTAACGATATTGAAATTTCTTTGCTTTAAGTGTTTCAGGCATCTTATCTGGAAGAAAAAATAATGTGTAGCCATCAGATCTCTTCTAGTTGTTGGTTTGGAATTGCAGGTATTACTAATGGCCACCTATGTTTTTGCAGGAAAAAATACAAAAAATATTAACCTGATAGAAAATTACTCATTCCATCCTAGCAGATTAACCAAATTTTCGAAATCTCTAATCTATTTTTCGACTAGATATTTCTTTGAACCATCATTACATAAAGTCCATTCGTACCAAACTACAAGAAATCCATGCACTGATTGCCAAAGAAAAACCAACGTTGCTATTATATGCGTATATGCAGTATCCAAATCAAACGGTTTCAAAATTAAGATCACTCTTTACACTAAATACATAAAATAAATGGCACTGTGGACGCTTTGTTTTTAGATGTAAAAATATCAGATAAAAACTTTCTATTGGGATGTATCTATAGACCAGGAAGAACCACCCACGAAAAAAATACAGTTCTTCACAATGATGTGGCGATTTCAACCACCCAGAGATTTATTTGTTGGAGAGACAAAAAAATGATGTCTTTGGTAGAGGCTAGAGCACCACTTGAGAAAAGCGATCACATCACTATTGTAGGTGTGATTAAATCAAAATACAACAAACAAAATAAAAAAGCGAAACTTTCACATCGCTAACTACAAACCCGTTAATTAATACATCAAGAACTTAGCAGGAAATATCGAACCAAGTGTCAAGAAGTACGAAGAATTTAAAAGCATTTTGACAACAACAGTAGATATTTTCTTCCCTGAGAAACTATGCCGGACCAACGTCCAAAAACCTTGGTTGAATGCGTTCATTTTCAAAGAAATTTACCTCAAGAGGAAATTATGGGAGAAATATAAAAAACAAAAATCAGACCAAAACTATACAGGGTGTTCCGAAATTAATGCACCAAATTGTTATGGCATATTCCACGTCGAAAATAAACCCCAGTTACCTATATAACTCCGGAAACGCTTGCTTTCCGAGATACCGGGTAAAGAAATTCTAAGAAAAAAACGTTTTTATCATAAATTTCAAACCACTCTAGATATTTCATTGAAATTTTGTACACTGCTTTCAAGCAGCAAAATTTTTTGATGTGAAAATATATTTTTTTAAAATTACCAGTGGCATCCTACCAGATTTGTAAGAAATATTTTTTAAGAAAAAAATGGTGCGTGACTGCTTTTTCCTGAAATAAAAATCA